CCTGTTAAAACAATGTTTATGATAATGGCAATGCCAATAATCTTTCCTTTGGCTTTTGAAGGTTTTTTTTCCCTTGATTACTAAAATCACAACTTCTTACTATACAAAAATGTAATGTTATTAAAAATATTAAATAAAAAGTGAACATTTCCTGCAATTTTGCAAATCCTCTCTTCCCTTACAATCCAAACACTGCTACTGTCAACAATTTATTCCTCATTTTTAATGATGTGCAGGCCTGGAGGCTCTGTGCTCTCCTGGGAATTCTTCATTGTGCCCCTTTTGCTTCAGGAATTTCTATTTATCTTTATAAAAGAAAGCTTAACTATCACCTTTGTGAAGGTGCTTTGACCCAGCTAAGCCATAATCCCTCCCGCTCCTAGGTGCCCAAAGCAGTTTGTACATCCTTCAATTAAAGAACTTAAAACAGTTTCATGGCAATTTTTGAATTCAATGTCTCTCTCACTTCAAGGCCTTCAAGGACCACGTCTCATTCCTCTTTGGTACAAGGCATCTGGCACTCACTGACATGCAGGCCAGTGCACCGTGAGTATTTGTTGAGTGAATCAGTGAAGGAATTTACAAATAAAATATTTTTCTAACACATAGACTCTCAAGCTCTGTAATAATCACAACCAGGATGCTCACATTTAAATTTCTCTAGAAAGATGTTTCACACATATTCCTCATTTCAACAACCCAGTAGTGCTATTACTTCTGATCTTTTCCCTTTGTTTAGGCCTAAAAACTCAAAATTCTAACTTCACAGAAAATGGTAAATTTGGAAGAATTTGGGGATGAATGGTGGTTTATTTTTCAAGTGCCAAATGAACATTCTGAAGCATAGGATCCTTTGCCATAGGCTTTGTTCACTGACACCAGAACATTCCAGGAAATGACATTTCAAATAAACAGTTTCAAGTCCAGTAAACCACAAACACAAAGAAGTATTCAATAGCATTTCAAAGCAAATAGCCTTCTGTTGACAGTTACACAGGAATGACTGATTATATTTGGAAAGCACAAATATCTCTTCTGTTAGATTAATTGAATATAATTTTAGCTGAGGGCCTGGGCAAAAGAGTGAACCTATAATAATAGTAAAAGAAGAGAACAAAGGAAAAGAGATAAGGAGGGAAGGATGGACCTTAGAACTATATTCCTAAATATCAGAAATCCCTGCTTGACCAACATTCAAATTCACAAGCCCCACTGTAGGACTTTGACATACACGCGTGCTGCATGACATATCGTCCAAGGAACAGCAGCCAAAAGAAGTTACTTTCCTTGGAAAAAGAGATTGCCACAGAGTTTTCATACTTACCACTTAAATAGTTTGGGCTTAATATAGTTAAGTAATATAATTATGAACCCATTTCCCAAAGTCCTATTTCTTGTTCATGTGTACCAGTTATTTTCTTTTTTTTTTTTTTAATTTTTTTTCCCAACGTTTATTTATTTTTGGGACAGAGAGAGACAGAGCATGAACAGGGGAGGGGCAGAGAGAGAGGGAGACACAGAATCGGAAACAGGCTCCAGGCTCTGAGCCATCAGCCCAGAGCCCGACGCGGGGCTCGAACTCACGGACCGCGAGATCGTGACCTGGCTGAAGTCAGACGCTTAACCTACTGCGCCACCCAGGCGCCCCGTGTACCAGTTATTTTCAACTAGAACTCATATGTCACATGTTGGACCCAGCTCTTTGTATTAAAACACATAGGCAATCTACAAATAGAAATCCACAATCTAATTTTAACTTTAAAGAGTAAGACTCAGTGGGCACAATCACAGGAAGTGAGGTACAGAGATGACACTGGGCATTTGACCTAAGCAGGAAGTGACAAGGAGAAATTCAGACGCCTGAAAATGTAGTATGAAAGTAGAAAAAAGTGAAGGAGTCACTGGGTTTCCATCATATAAGAGATAGCAGCTTAAATAGTAAAGAGAAAGCATATTTAGGTATACCACAGCAGCTGGACCTAGAGTTACATCAGTGTAACTAACATATTAAGTGAAGAAGCAATATATTTACTAATGGGGGTAAGGGTAAAAAAAAATATCATTCTCTTTTACATAAAAAATATAGTACTGTCAGCGTTACACTTATTAAATAATAATAAAAGTTAACATTTATTGAGTACTCGGTTGGATCAGACACTATTCTAAGTACATTACGTGAGTAGACTATTTAGTTTTCAAAGCAACTGTATGAGTTAGGAACATTATTATCCCAATTTCACAGATGAGAAAACTGAGGCACAGAAAGGCAAAAGCCACACACTTTGTAAATGCAGAGCCAGGATATGAACTCAGGCAGTCTGGCTCCATAGTCCTATGCCTTTTAACAGTATGTCATGCTACCTCTTAACACCTACTCAAAAGAAATATTACTCTTTATTTTAGAGTTTGTTTTCATATGTTTACATGAATAAACATCGGTTTCTTCATAGGTTTTCAGAAACCTATAGGAGAGTTAAGTCTTGAATTGAAGGAGGCTATTTACTAGCTATCAAAAGCAACTGAAGTCAGTGTTGAAAAAAAATACTTAATCCACCTTTGCATGATGTTATATTCATCCATGCAACTGAATCCAACTCAATTAATGGTGATTTAGGATTCCATGCTGAATACTAAAAATGTTAGATTCAAAGCCTAGAGAAGACATCATTTTTATTCCCATCTAAAGCAGATAAAATGTTCTGGAAGCTTACAGTTAAAAGAGATAAAGAAAATTAAGACCAGAGAGTTCAAATGACCTGCCTGAGGCCAAAAAAGCAGTTTGAGGCACAGAGTGAAGTAAACTCTGATTCAGATGGGTCTGGTTCTCTCTTTGCTATACCACTTTGTTTCTAATCAAGCTGGCTGAACACATCAAAATAAAATCAACTTCCCAAATGCATATCTGGGCCCTATAAAGAGGGAAATGTTTGATATCTGCCTGCCTCATGTCTAGAACCCACTTCATTCCGGAGTTAAGGTAAGGACAGAGAGAACAGACCACCAAGGGAATATTTTTAAGGGAAGGAGGAGAGGATTCACACATAGAGTACCCCAGATCTTCTCTGAAGGAATGTATGTTTTGGGTTTTGTTTGCTGGACAATTCATCTCTCTCAAACCTTACACAATTCTAAAAGCAGACCTTGAAATTATGTCTATACTGGCACCTATATGTGTAGGTGCTTGGGTATGCTCCAATTCTATTCTAAGGGTTCTTAAGAACAGAGGACATGTTCTAAACCTTTCTGTATGTCCAGATTTTACCGAGTGCTTTCATACAGTAGGTGTTCAGTATGGAAGTGTTGAAAGTGTAAGTACATGGAATGTAAGGTTTCCAATGAGTTCATTTTCTCTCTCTCTAAAAAAAAAAAAAAGTCCTGTATTCAGGTCTCTTAGTGATTTTTTTTTATTAGTTTATTTTAGTGGAGAAATTTTATGTATTCCTCCACCACCACCCCTGACCTGCCAAGGGGTATTTGGCAATGTCTGGAGACCATTTTGGTTGTTAAAACTTGAGGGGGATGGTGCTTATTGGTAGATAAGAGTCCAGGGATGCTGCTAAACATCCTACATGCATGAGACAGACCCCACAATAAAGAATCATGTAGCCCCAAACGTCAGTAGTATCAAGGTTAAGGACACAGGACTGTTTAGAAGTACAAAACGCACAACCACCTCTCCATTTCCCCATTTTTAAAACACAAGTAAGACATAAACCAAAATGGCACACCAAAGATATGCCTTAGCAAGACCATTTCAGCAATCTATTGTTAATATGGCCAATTATTTAATAGGCTTATTTATAGGATTATAAGGGTTATTAAACACTGGAAGAAATGTATGAATTTAAACATATACATATATATATGTGTATATATATATATATATATATATATATATATATATATATATATACACATACATACACACACACACACACATATATGGAAAGCCTTCACCAAAAAAGATGCTCTGATCTTTACTGTATATGAAGCTGAGGCTACTTCACAGTTATGACAAAACATTGTGCTGATGAGGCATTTTAAAGCCACCCCTGCCCTAACTCAGATGTGGGACTCTTCAAATTGTTTCATTATTTCTATTTTTCTAAGTTTATTTATTTATTTTGAGAGGGAAAGAGTGTGGGGGGGGAGGGGTACAGAGAGAGAGAGAGAGAGAGAGAGAGAGAGAGAGAGAGAGAGGGAGAGAATCTCAAGCAGGCACTGCACTCAGTGCAGAGTTCCACCTGGGGCTCAATCTCATAACTGCAAGATCATGACTTGAGCCCAAACCAAGAGTTGGACACATAACCAACTCAGCCACCCAGGCGCCCCCAGACTGTTTCATTATTTCTAACCTCACTCAAAATCCACCTTTTTGACCAGCACACAAAGAGGAAATATATGTTTTTTGTGTGTGCAAATAGGGTCATCAAAAACTGCTTTACTATTGGCTTATCCTTTGTATGCCTGTCCATCTTCTTCATTTCTAGGTTCACCTGGAAGTTCCTGTTTTCCAGCCTAGATTCCTTATTGTGGGTCCTTATTGAAGGATCATTCCTTCAGTTCTGCATTGCTCTCTTTGACTTCTGCCACAGAAAGATAGCTGCAGTAAAGCTATCCTAACAGCCTAATAATGTCTTTAAGATGAACAAGGAAAAGGAGGCAGGGGGAGCTGCTGGCTTTTCTTTGGACTTGGTCATGGTTTCCTTACATAGTCTCCAGCTGATGTGGTTATATTTGCTACAGTTTTATTTGCTTGTTCTTTTTCCCTAGTGCCTCATATTTGATACTTTGGATATCTGGCATACACTTGAATAAAAATTTCTTTCTTTAAGGGGACAAATTCATTCTTTTCTGAGAATAAACTAACGAACACATAGATCTCAGGAGGATCTCTGAACATACTACAGTCACTAATCTGTTCAGTATTTTCTGTGTTGAGTTAAACGTGTCACTACTGAGATCCTCATACATTGGTTAATGACTTTCTAAATATTTACCAAGATCTTTAATAAGCGAGAGTGCTTCCCATGATATAAAGGCTCCACCGCCATCATCCATGGCACCCTGCCCCACATCCCAGCTGTCCAGATGTCCACTGACCAGTACGACCTAGAACAAATAATAAAAAGAGAAAAAAAAATAAAACTAAGCAGAAATGACATCAAAGAGGAAGCATTCATAGTCATTCCAAATATAGAAATGAAACTTTTATATTTTCTTTTCTATTTTTACATCTTAAAAGATCTATGTCATTACTAGTGGAAAACCTGGTATAACGCTCTATATAAAGGGTGTAAGGTCATCCTAACAGTAATAAAAATTCTCACCTTGTACTTCTCTTCACAAATATAAGTTTGAATACTAAAGTGAAATGGTTTATTACTGACCGATGTTTTACAACTTTATTATATGGCTTAAAAGCTAACTGACATAAATGGGGCTCAAAACTTCAACTATATTCTCAACTGTCCCAAATTCTAGCAGACAATAATAAACATGTGTTGAACTGAATTCAAATGAAAAAGTGAGAACGATAATTTTTTATTTTTTATTATTTTTTTAGCATTTTTTATTTTTTATTATGAAATTTATTGTCAAATTGGTTTCCATACAACACCCAGTGCTCATCCCAACAGGTGCCCTCAATACCCATCACCCACCCACCCCTCCCTCCCACCCCCCATAAACCCTCAGTTTATGATCTGTGTACTATAAATCACTCTGGTGTTAATAAATAAATATACTGGGGTTACAAACTACAGTCTAGTTAGACAAAGAACTTTTTAAAAAAAATTAAATTTACACTAGTCTTAAATAAGTCTACAGATTATATTACAAATTTTAAATCACCAAAGTTTTAAATTATTTTCAAGAATCATTAGAAATTATCTCCAGGAAAATAGAAACCATATTTCAATAAAACTAAATTTCATTAAAACATTTTAAACAAAGCAAGTTAAGTGATGCTTGCTTAATGGGATATCCATATGGAAAAATTGTACCTTGACCTCTATTTCACACAATATATGAATGTCAAATCAGATAGATTACAAATCTAAATAAAGATGTTAGAGGAAAGCATAGAAGTTTTGTCAACTTGGAGTAGGCAAAGAGCACACACCATAAAAGAAAAAGTAACAAACTGAACTTTTAAATTTTTTTTTTCAACGTTTATTTATTTTTGGGACAGAGAGAGACAGAGCATGAATGGGCGAGGGGCAGAGAGAGAGGGAGACACAGAATCGGAAACAGGCTCCAGGCTCTGAGCCATCAGCCCAGAGCCCGACGCGGGGCTCGAACTCACGGACCGCGAGATCGTGACCTGGCTGAAGTCGGACGCTTAACCGACTGCGCCACCCAGGTGCCCCCAAACTGAACTTTTAAAAAAATAAGGAGTATCTGTTCATCAAAAGACCCCATTACAAGAGTGAAAAGGCAACCCACAGAGGAAGAGAAGATATTTACAATACATATACACAGCAAAGGAACCATATCCAGACTATATAAAAAATTCCTACCAAACAGAAATAAAGAGGGAGTCAACTTATAAAAACATGGGCAAAAGACTTGAATTGACAACTCATAAAAATAGGCATACAAATACTAATAATCAAGCGAAAAGGTGCTTGGGTTCACTATCATCAAGGAAGTACAAATTAAACCACATTCAATACATTTCCACCAAAATGACTAAAATAAAAAAGATAGAAAATGTCAAATATTGGTGAGGAGATAGACTGGAACTCTCACACACTGTTGGTGTGAGTGTAAGTGCTTATAACCACTCTGGAAAACTGATTTATGTACTGAGTCTGAACATACACACACCCTGTGTGTGCCCCAACACTTCCACTTCTATATATATCCAACAGGAATGTATGTGTGTATGTATACCTTCACCAAAAGAGATGTACTAGAATGCTCAGAATGTTCATAATGGCCCCTGCCCCCCCCCACCAAAGGAAACTACTTTAATGCCTGTTAACAGAGGAATGAATAAACTGTGTTGTGCTGATCAATGGAACACTACATAGCAGTAATAATGAACGAACACAATACATGATCAATGGAGATAAATCTCATAAACATTATGAAATGAAAGAAGCCAGACACAAAATAATATATATCATGTATAATTCCATGCATATAAAATATAAAAACAATCAAAACAAAGGAGAATGGTTACCCAAGGTGAGAAGGGTTAGTGACATGAAGGAGAGCTCCTGGGGTGCTGGGCACATTCTGTTTCCTGATCTGGGTACAGTTACACAGGTGTGCTCAGTTTGTAAAAGCTTATCTTGTTACACACTTAGGATCTGTACACTTTCTCTGAGAACATTACATACCAATAAAAAGTTTTCAAAAGTTCAACAGATTGATGTCTATATACAGCATGTAGTAAGCAAACCAAAGTTGAATGAATCTTCTCGATGAATGAAACAAAAATGCCCCATGACTTTGGGAAAGCAGGATTTGGGTTCTGAAATATCAGGGTGACCCCTTGCACTGCCTGATTCCCCAGGCAGCTGTAGGATCCTCCATTGACTCTGCATACACACACAGCCAGACCCAGCCGGCATGACTTCATTGTAGTCACAAACAAGTACAATGCCTTGTAACTAATGAGACTAACAAATGGCCATGTAATGAACCCAAATGGATTGTTTCTAAGGAAAGAGGAAAAAAATGAAGAAGAAAACATGCTGCAATAGCAGGAAATTCTGACTCAGACGTTGGTGTAATCCCATGTGGGATGGACAAGCCAATTAGTCAACATTCTCACCATCCTCGGACCCATTTTCTCAATGAAATTGGAGTTCCCGTGGATTCAAAGTGTCAAAATGTGTTTTAATGAACTTTTTCCCAGTTAACACATAAGAGTAACTAAATCAAGGCAGCTGTTATTTCATCTTTCAGAATAATTGAGGTTATTTTACAATCATACTTCTTTATGTTTTCTAAAATGCCTCCATTATCCAACCCAGAATTATTACTTAAATAAATAATTAAAAGATGGGAGAAATGGTTTTGAATGATAGGAAATTAAATGTTATCCCATAAAATAAGGTCTTTGGCACAGTGCTAAAGAAGATTGACTACAAACCATGTAGATTTTAAGAGCTTATTTTAATATGTTTTTTAAAATCAGAAAATATATTGGGGGCCACTGTGAGACAGCAGCTGTAATTTTGATATAAAAAGTAGGTAATGACAATTCAGTAGCATTTTTAACAAACTTGAGTTTTCCTAATCATAAGAGCTCTACTCCCCTTAGAAAACAGTGATGCACAAGGTCTCATTCAACACAGTATCTGCATTATCATGCTTTAATGCAGTCCCACAAAGGATAAACCAGTACAACATACAAACTCACCATACCTTGTGTCAGGGTCAGGCAGAAACGAACATTACTTATAATACATTTGTATCCGATTTAGGCAAACATACTAAAAACAGACTACCAAGAGACACAGTAAGCTCTAGTTTCTTGAAAAAGAATCACCTGATAAAAGACAGGAAAATACACAGTCCCTTCACTGCCTCTGTTGCCAGATGTGGAGCCCTTAGTGCAACAGGATGGCCTAGAACTAACAGAGAAGTGGGACACCCACCTATTTACTCCTCTTGTGTGCTGCTCCCTGAGGCAGGTAGAGCACTGACCAATTCCCCACCCACCACTTTCCTTTTTACCACCATCTCTTCCAAACACAGCAAAGAGTAAAAGTTATTAAAACAACAGCAGCAGCAATAGCAGGCACACCAAAACAATTAGGAAGGCAGAAGCAGAACTGTGATTATCTGAAATGCAGCTTCTTATTTGTGAGGAACACATTAGCCTTGACCACCAAAGACTCAGGCCTTGAGGTCGGGTGGGGCGGTGGGAGAGAGAACCTACCACAGAAGGGCAGAAACATACCAGATGGGAACCTGCTAAGATGAACAAAGACCAGCCGTGGCACACAACCCCCTACAGGCCAGCTGTGGGCCTGAGAGCAGAGATAAACTAAATCAAGGGTAGACAGACAGCAGCCTCAAGGACAAGCCCCTTACATCTTCATTATTGGTACATCCGGAGACACTAGTGCAAATAGATTTGCCTGATTAAATGATGAGTAAGAACATAATCAAAATGGGACATATGAAAAATATGGCAGAACAAGGAGAGAAAACAGCCTCAGTGGAAGTACATTCTTATGAAAGCAAGTTAATTCAAGGTATTGGAGAAAATGCCATGATCTTTGGCATTCACTGCATGCATTTATTCAACAATTTGTATTGAGTTCGTATTATGGGCCAGAAATACAGAAATGAAAAAATAAATAAATATTCTATCTTCATGGGATTATCGTTCTGGTAAGGGAAACAGACAATAAACAAATATGATATGATGGTAGTTTTAAGTGCTATAAAGAAATACCAGGGGCGCCTGGGTGGCGCAGTCGGTTGGCGTCCGACTTCAGCCAGGTCACGGTCTCGCGGTCCGTGAGTTTGAGCCCCGCGTCGGGCTCTGGGCTGATGGCTCGGAGCCTGGAGCCTGTTTCCGATTCTGTGTCTCCCTCTCTCGCTGCCCCTCCCCCGTTCATGCTCTGTCTCTCTCTGTCCCAAAAATAAATAAACGTTGAAAAAAAAATTTTTTAAAGAAATACTGGGCAAAGAAAGAAAATAGAGTGGTGGTAGCATGGAGAGGAAAGATCAGTGTGCTTCCTCCTAAAAGGTGGACAGCCACAGGAGTGTTCTGTGCCTGCCCTAACAATGAGAGAAATCTGGATGATCTATAAAAGCATAACTTTTTAAGGCCCATCAGAGATTTCAGATTGTGGTTCAGTCAGAGGCGCTGAATTCCAGAGGACAACAAGCTCAAGGAGAGATGGGACACATGAGTTGCTTGGCCTTTTGCAGAGACAGGAGGGACAGGTGCCAGCAATAGACAGAGGTGGCAGACAAAAGCAGGAATGAAGAAGACAACTAAAAGGTTCACAAATTCTGAAAAGGCGAATGTGGGTTAATATGAGAGTTTAGAATACCTGGAAACCTCTCATGTAAGGTACTAGGTACCCAAATTTCCAGATCTTTTCCATAGGCCTCCATCAGGTACTCCCAAGAAATAC